TTGTGGAATTTCACTCGCTGTGGTGTTGGGTGCAGTTCGGCGCTGTGCCTTGCACGCGCTAAACGGATATCAACCATTTTTCAACTTCTTTCAGAGAACTCCTTGAAAATGAGGTAAGAGCTAACACTATTTTTATCGGCACTGCAAGTGGGTGTGGAATGGTTTGCGGCTTAGAACAACAGCGAGGATACTGTTTGAGGCAGATAACTTTTAGCCAGGATTACGCTCTATGCCGAGGAACATTTGTAAATGTCTTAACGAGAAAAATGTCCCAGTTTCACATTTTGCTGCTGCTATTTAGTAAAGTAAATACTTCATGAATTGTAAATTATAACGGGAAAGTAGGAGAAGGGTGCATGAACGAAGGGAGCATGAAGGAAAGATAGAAAGAAAGAAAGAGAACGAGTAACGCAACTACCACGACAATGTGTGTCACATCCTTAAGGATGTCCCAAATAACTGAATTTTAAAAGAATGTTGAATGTGGGTGAGTGCGTGTGTGTTTGCCCTTATTCAGGTGATGATGAGGACGACGAAGACGACGACAACGTAGAGGGGAATAATGTTCAAAGAGGTGGTAGTGGTGGTGACGGTGTTGCTGCTGTTGCCTCGTTGCCGATGTTGAAGAATTTACGGCAATAACGCTGCAACAAGTTCAGCCAAAGGAATACTAAAATGCCATCATGAAAAATGTTACCTCCTTAAGGCAGCAAAGTATTTAGCCAAACATTAAAGGCCATAAATTTTCAGGTTGTAATTTAATTTATTTAGAGTCGTTTATGCGAAGCGCTTTGTTGCTTAGCTTAGCTTTTATAGCCAAGATCATAAAAATGTAATATTTTGCAAGAAATACGAACTATTGTAAAATATGAATAAATTAATTAACAAAATTATATAAAAAAATGCTTCCACGCTATTAAAAAAAAAAAAACAAAAATGTTAAAGTGTAAATATTTTAAGGAGCTGGTATTTAACACAATTTGGATGAAAGGAGTTCAAATGGTTTGGGCTTAGTTTATTGCGAAAGCTATTGTAGCTAAAGAGGAATAAGAAAAATAAGCATGCACAATGCAATATGTACTCCACAACAATGATATTTGATACCGGACATCACACACAGTTGGAAAATACCTCTGCCAATTTTTATCGAGATCGGTTCAGACTTATATTTAGCTTCGATATACATCTTCCTCCGATTTTACGGTTCTTGTTCACCCTATATGTAATATCAGCCCAAATTGGAATTTTTCCGAATTTTTCCATTTAGTGAAACTCGATCCGCCAATGAATATTTAATTAATACTTATCGAAGTCATATCATGTACTATACAGCAATTTTCTTTGGTGCTAGATATTCAAAAGTCATCAAATTTGTTCCAAATCGATTCAGAGTTGTGACTACTCTAAAGCCATGATAGGCATTCAAAAATATTCATAGTTGGAAGGATCTTTTAACATAAATTCCGAATATAAACTTTTTTGTTACGGGAGCTCGCATAGTGGTGTAGGGTATATTAGTCGGCACGCCCGACTTTTGACACTTCCTTACTTGTTTTTATACCCTCCACTATACGTAGTATGGACGGTATGCTACATTTCAGATTAGTCTTTTGTCGGCATGCAGGTCAAGTTCAAAGATGGGCGATATCGGTCCACGATATCATATAGCCTCCATATAACGGTACCCCCTATATTCTGTATTTTGATGATTATAGTCACATTTTTCAATGAAATTGTCTGAAATTCTACACAAGTAGTTCTTTGTGAGTATTTTGCCCCCTGAAAGGGAATTGTCTTTATAGGTCCACGATGCCGCATATCCCCCATATAACTGAACCTCCCAATGTTCGGTATTTTTTGATTTTAGCCACACTTTTTAATGGAATTGTCTTAAAATTGGAATTGTCCTTCTGAGTACTTTGCCCCCTAAAAGGGAATTGTATATATAGGTTCACGATATAGCATAGCCCCCATATAACGGAACCTCCCGATATTCGGTATTTTTTTATTTAGCCACATTTTTCAATGGAGTTGTCTTAAAATTCACAACGGAAGATAATTGTTTATATAGGTCCGATATCGATATTCTCCGAAATTCGGTATTTTCATGATTTTAGCAACATTTTCAATGAAATTGCGTCAAAATACACACCAGGGGTTTCTTCCGAGTACCTAACCCACGGGAGAGAATTGTCTATATATATCCACGTTATCGTATATTCCCTATATAAAGGTAACTTCCGATATTGGGTATTTTCATGATTTTAGCTACATTTTTCAATGGCATTGTCAAAATATCCACACAAATAGTTTCTTGTGTACACTTTACCCCCTGGAAGAGAATTGCTTATATAGGTCCACGATATCGCATGACCCCCATATAACGGTACCTCCAAATATTCGGTATTTTGAGGATTTTAACCAAAATCTTCAATGAAATTGTCTCAAAATACACACCAGGGGTTCCTTCTGAGTACTTAACCCCCAGAATAGAATTGTCTATATGGTATGAGATATCAGATACAGGTTTGTAACTCATCGAAATAATGATTTTAGATCTGACAAAGTATACATATATAGTCCTGGTCAGCTAAAAATTTTAAGACGATTTAGCCATGTCCGTCCGTCCGTCTGTTGTAATCACGCTAGAGTCAAAACGAATTAATATAAGGGCTACATTTTTCACAGACCAGTCTTTTGTCAAGTTCTAAGATGAGCTATAACGGTCCATGATATCGTATATCGCCCATATAACGCTACCCCCGATATGCGGTATTCTGATGATTTTAACCACATTTCTTTATGAGTACTTTACCTCCTAAAAGAGAATTGTCTATATAGGTCCTCGATATCGTATATCATATAACGGCACCTCCCGATATTCTGTAGTTTGAGGATTGTAGCCAAATTTTTCAATGGAATTGGCTTAAAATCCACACAAGGAGTTCCTTCTGAACACCCGTGAAAGAGAATATTCTATTTAGATCCAAATGTGTAAAAAATGTGGCGAAAATAATCAAAATATCGAATATTGAGATGTACTGTTATGTGGGGCTATACGAAAGCGTGGCTCCATATGTAAAATTTTCTGCTACCGGGGCTGGAACCCATTACGAACTACAAATACAGTTTTCTAGACTCGGACAGATAATTTTCTGTCTTAAGGTGGGATCACATGATTGTCGCAATGCGCCAATTTAAACCAATTTTTATTGTCCAAAGTTTTACTACAATAAATAAATTGTCACAATCAAATTCTCTGCGGTCACATGATTGTCCAACTTTTCATAAATTTGATTGCCGCATATTGTCTCAAAACCATCAAGTGACAATTATTGTCCAACTTCAGTCACACGATTGTTCTACTACACGGCAAATATCAGAAGCAGCTGCTATGTGTCAAAGTTTGTTTATTAAAAATGTTAAAGCATTTAAAAATTTGTTTTATTAAGATGTGTTCTTTAAAAAAAAAGAAAATTGCAGCAGCTATAATTATGGTGTGTGCATTTGACGATGAGAAAAATGAAAGGAAAGAAAAAAAAAGTAAATAGAAGTACGTGGGTCAGAGAGTGGCTCACAAAAAGAAGCACTGATGGTGCATATGACAAAACATTAATGGAATTCCGGGAAATCGAAAACCAAAAGTTTTTGTTTAAAAATTTTATCCGGATGGATGACGAAACGTTTATCGAATTGTTGCAACTAGTGTCACCATATATTAAAAAACAAGACACAAACATGCGAAAGGCTATTCCCGAACAAATACGCTTAGCTGTGACACTTCGATTTCTTGCATCTGGTGACAGTTATAAAAGTCTTTCGGTCTTCTTCCGTGTTGCCCCAAATACCATATCACTTTTCGTACCAATTGTTTGTGATGCTATTTATAAAGCGTTAAAAGGTGCATACATAAAGGTATGAAAAATCTAAATACACACATATTTATGCTTTTTAATTGACTTATTATTTCTTTTGATATGTATGTAGATACCATCCACGCAGGAAGAATGGAATGTCGTTGCTTTCAAATTTAACAAACTATGGAACTTCCCGAACTGCATAGGGGCGGTTGACGGCAAACATGTGCAAATTATAGCACCACCTAATTCAGGAAGCACCTTCTATAACTATAAAGGTACACATAGTATAGTGCTAATGGCAGTTGTTGATGCCGAATACAACTTTTTATACGTTGATGTTGGCTGTAATGGTCGTGTGTCGGATGGTGGAGTCTTTGGAGACTGTACTTTTCAACGTGCTTTAAACAATAATGAGCTAAATTTGCCACTTCCAAAACCATTGCCAGGTCGTCAAGCAAATGTTCCATTTGTTTTGGTTGCGGATGATGCTTTCCGCATGCAGAAACATTTGCTGAAGCCATATCCTGGTAAAAGTTTATCTGCAGGGCAGAGAATATTTAACTACAGGCTATCGAGAGCACGACGTGTTGTAGAAAATGCATTTGGCATAATGGTCAAGCGATTTCAAATTTTTTCACGCCCTTCCAAGCTTAATGCAGAGAAAACAACCTCTACAACTCTAGCTTGCTGTGCATTACACAATTTTTTGTTAAAAAAAAATTTAAATTATACAACGTCGTTGCTTGTTGATCGCTACGATGAGGACGGTGCTTTAATTCCTGGTACATGGCGAAATGACTTCCCACTAGATGCTGTGAGTGGAACAGAAAATGTTCCAAGTTCTTATATAACAAGTGAAGCAAAGGCTGTTCGGGATGAAATGGAAAAGTATTTCATGTCTCCTATTGGAGAATTGAGCTGGCAATATAAAAATATATAAATAATTTTATATATCAAATAAAATTTAAACTTTAATTTAAAATCAGAAAATTTACTATAGTTTTATTTAATTCATTTTTAGTATCTAAAAAAATACGGACTAGGAAGGTACTTCAATATTGCAAACAAAATTACAAAACAAAAACTTACATATACATACTATAAAAATTCAATTTAAAAAATGAAATATAACGCAAAAAATTTATCAAGGCTTAATTATCTTCTTCAGCTTCCAAAGCTGCATCCATTACGACTTTGACAAGCTGGAAATGCAGTTTGTTCGCAGCCTTCTTGTTTTTCTTGGCAATTTCTCGCATTTGTGATGCCAAATACATCCCAATCGCGTGCCAATTATCTTCCTCCGCATCTAAACACTTAACTGCACGCTGCAAAATGTCACTTTTGTCTACCTTTACAATCTCAGCAGCGGCATGTTGTGAAGTACTTCCAGAGTCATCCAAATCTAATGTTGACACTGTACTTGACATTTTTGACACAGAGTGGTCGTTGTAAAATTGCATTGCAGACCAATGCGGCCAATGTGGTATGGTATTTTCGGCTCCCTGACCAGATTTTGATTTTAGTTTTTTTTTTACATTTTGAAAGGCCGTTTTAATGTTGCACCATTTGGCCTTGCAGTCTTCCACCGTGTGCCCTGTACACATTTTTTCAATTTCCCGCCATGCCTGCTCCCGTTTATTCCTATCTTTGTACTCGGTGGATGAATACTGCCAAACACATGGATGCTGTTCCACAGCTTGTATCAGCTCCTGTATTGCAGTGTAGGTCCAGGAACAAATTACACTTGGTTTTTTTCTTTTTTTCGGCACAGGTGTTTCTGGTTGCTGATCGGGGGAAAAGAACTCAAGCTCAGCTGAATTTTCGTATACAATGCAATCACCGAATTCCATATTAAAGCTGCAAATACATAATATGAACATAATTATAGCAAATACAACAATTTAAATTAACTTTACTTTACTTACGACAAAGAAATGTTGACGGTACAAACACAAGAAAAAATATTATTTAAAAAAAATCAGGTTATTGACGCGTATTGTCTTCTTTGATTGACGCACTAGAAAACAATAAATATTGACGCATTTTTCAAATTTAAATTTGCGCAAGGTTGTCTATTAACAGTTCACACGATTGTCGTACCAGAGTTGTATTTGATTGCCGCAAATCAGCACAATTTATTTTTGATTGTCGCATTGGACAATAAATTGTGCAATCACACGATTGGCATATAAAATGCACCAATAATTGGCGCATTGCGGCAATCGTGTGATCCCGCCTTTAGGCTGTAGTATCCATTTCGAACTTCAAATACCAAATTTGAAACAATTACGATGATTAATGTCGCTAAAATCATCAAAATACCGAATATCGGCAGGTGCCGTTGTATTGGGGGCTATACGAAGACGTGGACCTGCACAAATACTTTTTTGTCATAGGCTTTAGTATCCATTACGAATCTCAAATACCAAATTTGAAACAATGCCGGTGAATAATGTCGCTAAAATCATCAATATACCGAATATCAGGAGGTACCCTCATATGGGAGCTATACAAAAAAGTTGAGCGATGTACTGAAAATATTATCAAGACACAGTATAAATTGTTCTCCCAAATGTTGAAGCTCTACGTATCGTGATTTCAATTGACTGTATCGTGATTTCAATTGACATACAGACGAGAATATTTTATATAGGTCCACGATATCGTATATCCCCATATGACGATACCTCCCGATATTCTCTATTTTCATATTTCTAACCAAATATTTCAATGAAATTGTGGAAAAGAACTTTCTATATAGGTCCACGATATCGTAAATCCTCCATATAACGATACCTCCCGATATTCGATATTTTCACGATTGTAGCCAAGTTTTTTTATTACCATTGTTTTCAATTTCGTATTTTAAGTTCGTATTGGGTAGTTCAGCCTGTGACGAAAATTGCGTATTTAGGTCCATATCTTCGTATAGGCATATATAACGATACAGCCCGATATTTTGTTGATTTAAAGAACATTAGTCACCGGAATTATTTTAAATTTCGTATTTGAAGCTCGTAATGGATGCTACAAGCTATGGCGGAAAATTATCTATGTAGGTCCATTTCTTTATATAGCTTACCTATAACGACACCTCCCTATATTTGGTAGTTTGATGATATTAACGGCACTACATATTCAGCAAAACTGTTTCCAGTTTAATGATATTAGAGACCATTTTTGACCTGAATTTTTTCAAATTTCGTATTTAAAGTTCTCAATACCTGGATATACCACATCTGTGATTTAAATCTAAATTACAAACTAGATATATTACGTTTCGTAGAATCCTTATTTATCCCTTTCATTGCTCTTATAATTATGAATTCTTTTTTCTACCCTCAACCATAGTATGGAGGGTATTTTAAGTTTGTCATTCCATTTGTAACACCTCAAAATATATACTTTAGACCCCACAAAGTATATATATTCTTGATCAAAATAAAATTATATGTCCATTTAGCGATGTCCGTCCGTCTGTAGAAATCACTCTAGCTTCCGAACAAATTGAAGTAGATTGATAAAATTTTACTCAAATGTATATTATGTCTGCAGGACTTTTGGTATTGAAAATGGGCCATGTAGGTCCACGTTTTGGTATAGTCCCCATAAAACGGTACCTCCCGATTTTAGGAATTTTGATGATTTTTGCGACAATCTTCATCGGAACTGTTTCAAATTTGGTATTTAAAGTTTGAAATGAATACTACAGCCTATGACAGAAAATTGTCTGTGCAGGTCCACGTCTTCGTACAGCACCCATATAACGGCACTCACCGCAATTCGGTATTTTGATGATTTTAGAGATATTTTTCACCGGAATTGTTTGTTCATAATGGATGCTACAGCCTAAGACAGAAAATTGTCAGTGCAGGTCCTCGTCTTCGTATAACCCCCATGTCACGGTACCTTTCGATATTCGGTACTTTGTTGATTTTAGCGACATTATTTACCGGAAGTCTTTCAAATTTGGCATTTGAAATTCGTAATGGATACTACAGCCAAAGACAGAAAATTGTGTGTGCAGGTCCACGTCTTCATATAGCCCCCATGTAACGGTATCTCCCGATATTCGGTATTTTGCTGATTTTAGCTACATTTTTCACCGATGTTTTTTGTTAAGTTTCGCATTTGAATATTGTAATGGCTTATGACAAAAGTTACCTATGCAGGTCCATGTCGTTTTATAGACTTTAATGTAACAGCTACATTCGGTATTTTTAAGATTTTAACAGAATTTTTAACGGATTTTATTGTTTTTGAGAATTGCCAAATTCGTTCCAAATGGTGGAGGGTATTCAGTGTTCGCCCTGGCTCAACTTACAGCTATTTTACTTGTTTTTTCGTTAAATATTTACAGTGAATTAGGGCATATTAGTCCCCATCCGACATTTGTTCTTTCCGTTTGATATATATTGCCAATAATTAAATTTCGGACAGTGTTTAGTTGCAAGTATTTTACAAACCCTTTAAACTGGAGCACCATTGTTTCATTTCTTCCTTGTATTTATAATACCAGAACACATTCCACAATTATGGCATATCTTCCATTTTATCATCGTCCCCATCATCATTGTGGATGTCTCTGCCCACCACATTTATGGAATATTTGAATGTGCCAAAAGAACATTTAAATATTTGTTCTGTTTAAAACGAGGAAAACAACACAAAAGGTGTTAACCGAAGATATTTTTTCGGGAGGTATAAGGTATCATGAAAAAATCGGACTGATATACATGACACATAGCTGGACGCAGATATACATTTTGTGTGTGTGTGCGTGCCTATTCACTGAACACGGTACAAATACACATCCTGTACCGCTCTCTGTTTTCAGTTACAACAAAACAACATGCATGTTTTTCATATATAAATTTCCATCTGTTCACAAAGACAGATACATTCCAAAATGTCGGTTGCATTCACTAACCGAATGCCCCGAATATATGTACAATAGCAATAAACAACATTTTCAGAATGTTAAATTGTGTACGAAAAATAAACAAACAAAAAAAGTCATGTATACATGTGTGTACGGACATTAGAGTGCGCCAGAAGATATGAAAATTTAACTATAGGTAGTAATGCTATATTAAAGGCAAAACAAAAGTAAAAAGTAAAATAAAAATATTGAATATCTGAAAGTTACGCCATATGAGGGCTACATGCAAAATTTGATCTATGACCACTATGGAAAGGTCAAAAGTCGGGCGGGGCCAACTTTACGATACCCTACACAACTAATCGTATTTAGTAGAGCTCCCATAAAAAAATAGTTTCTATTGGGAATATTTGTGACGTAGATCATACCAACTATGAACATTATTGGAATGCGTATCATGGTTCTAGAGTAGTCACAATTTCTGAACTATATCCAACTCCGAAGCGATTTTCAATAAATTTGACGGAAGCTTTGGTACCTCTAGTATCAAATAATATTGCTGCATATGACTTCGATAAAAACTATATTAAAAAAAAATATCCTCAAAAGTAACTATGGGTCTATCTGTCTTCCTTCTCCATATTACAATCAAATACACAAAGACATAATACCCTTACCACTATGTGGAGTAGGGTATAAATATTTATTGGAGCAATAGATATATCGCAGAAGTTTCACGAATATGGAATATGAAAATGAAAATCCAATTTGGGTTGATATTAAATATATGGTGGACAATAACATTAATATCGGATGAAGATGTATATCAAAGATATATAAAAATGTGAACCGATCTCGATAAAATCTGGCAGAGATATTTTGGAGCTGTATCTGATGTCTGGTATTAAATATCATTGTTGTGGGGTGCACATAACTCATAAGAGGGACTTAAACACCAAGTCGGATAAAAGATATATATATGAGAGTTAAAGCTATATCAGAACCGATTTTCGCCAAAAATTTTAGTTCTTTCGTCTGGGCTGAATTCCATTGGAAGTCACAACATTCAGTTAATTTAGGCTGATATTGGCCATTTGGTACAAAAATTTGACAGAGTTATTTTTGAGCCCCATAAGTTAACTGGTACCAAATATCATTGTTGTGGGCTCATATTTCGAATGTGAGAGACATAAGAAATTTCATCACCATATTCAATTTGTTTAAAATCCTAATATTTGAGTGAATGCTAGGTTGGGTAAGAAAATGGACAATATCGACCCAGTCCATCAAGTACCTCCCCTACAAAAGTGTGAAATAAGATTGCGAATATCTTCAAATTTCGCACGTCCTAATATTTCTATCAACACAAGATTTGAACGTATTCGATAGATTAAAACCTTCCAAAATTCTAATATTTTTAATAACACAGAATCTGGTGGTGGTTGATATCGGTCCACTATTTCAGCTACCTCCACCACCAAGGGTAAAAAATAATATTTCTATATGCCTCACATGTAATGTAAATATGGAATATGTTGGTCCACTCTTCCGGCATCTCCCTACAAAAAATTACCAATTAATATCTCAAAACTGGAAAAAAATAATTATTGCGCATATAAATATTGTATCTGTTGTATCCTTACCTTCTCCACAAAATTTTAACATTTTGAAAAAAAAAAAAAAATAAAAATATGTACGAATATTTAAATAAAGGGGAGGATTTAGTCGATATAGCCCAAACCTGGCACGTCGCAGTAATTATACCAGGCTTAGACCAATAAATGGTTAAAGTTTTGAATAATCTTTTGTTGTTGCAAAATGGTCAGGCTTAATTCCTTTATTGTTGTTTTTTATAAAAACAACGTTTGTTCATTAGTGGAGAACGATGGTAATGTTTAACAGGGGGTAAGGCGGGGAATACCTAGATATCAGATATCAGATGACGACTGATACTTTTCAAATTGTTTTTGGATTCAACATCCATTTGAGACGGTTGTGGTGAAAATTCGAAAAAAAAAAAACTTATATATTAGAAACTTCATCCCTGAAGTGTATTTTTATACCCTCAACAATACAGGGTGGAGATGAAACAACTGCAACAAAGTCAAACGCCATAATATTTACATTTTTTTTAAATTTTATTGCATGAAAGCAAAAAATATCGAAACAGCATCAAATTTTATAATAAGTTTAAATTTGTTCGAATTGGTCACCTTTTGAACGATAATGGCCTTCAAACGGCCACGCTGCCTTAATGTTGTATTTTGGCCCATTTATAGCGAAGCGCTTGCTTGAGGTGATCAACACTTTGGTATTTTTTAGTGTTAACCTTGCTTTCC